AATAAAAAGCAGATCTGGCACTCAAAAACTAAATTTATATCCAATGTTCTAATTGAATTTGGCCAAAGATATAAACCTAATACAAGTGACTGCAAGGCAATGACAAAAGCATATATCACATGCAAAGGTGAACGATTTCAGCACTGGACAGCGCCCATGCCGCTACAATTAATAACAACTCAATACATCCAAAATGTGACAACAAGAAGTGCATTTTTTCCATTATGCATAATCATACAACTGTTTATTAGTAATAATGTTACAGATGAAATGCCTTTGCCTTTTAACTGTGCACAAACCAACACTGCAATCCACAGAGCCATTCCGCTAATGTGGCTAAAATACATGATGTTTGGTTTTCTCTGTTTAAAGATTATAAATAAACTACAGTATATTGTTTTTTGACTATTCATAAAAGAAATACTATTATAATGTTTTATAATAACTTTTCTATTCAGGCATAATTATTCTATTATTTTATTTGTTCATTTGTATCTTTGTCATTCTACAGTTTATTCATATGTCCTGCCTTAAAGGGCCAGAGCTGTCATTCCATTCAGCCACTAGGGGACGCTACATTGTCTCACTTGTAGACTTAAAAATAGGTCTCTTGGGACCATGCTTTAAAATTTTTTAAACATTTTCAGTTTTTCCTTCCATTTCTGTCCATTTCTTGGCGCAATACTTCAACGAACTCCACCAAGGGAATTTATGCAGTATTTATTTATTTGCAGTATTAGTAACTGGGTGTCCGTGGCAACATTTCCAAAAAAAAGTGCTGTTTTTCTACATTTACACACAGAAAATACAACGATGCACACAGTTCTGACCAATAACATGTTAGTAATGAACTTTAAATGCAACCTCCAGAATTATAAACTCTGAGCACAATTCCTTTGTTTTCACTCAAATAGAAATCCTGAATCAACCAGGACTGAACTCTTAGAGATTGCCAGGTTCAGATGCGGTTGCACCAACAAGGATTCACTTTTCAACCTGAATCAAGTTCCTCACAAAAAGTTAGTGGACAGACTAAATCAGCTGAGTTTTATGATGCTGCTGCTATATTTCTCCCAAGGTACCAGAAAGGAAACTGTTCTGGAGCTGAACAGGAAGTCTCTTTTAACTTTACTGTGAGTAAAGTAAAGTTTTTTCCTGTTGTGCGTGTTTATCTGCTGTTATTTGGAAATAGTGCTCCATTAATTCAGCCACAAGTCTTTTCTCAAAGATGGAGAAGTTAGAAAATCATGAATTATTTTAATTTGGGTACACAGCAATCTCCATATTGCTAAAATGATTTAATTTCATTTTAAACTTGGATTTACTGAACAGAGGTTAGTTTGTATTTGTGCAACAGAGCTCTGCTAAATTCTAAATCTGGATTTACTCATTTTAAACATTTGAGGCTTAAGATCCTGCAAAAAATGACCCGACGACGCCGCTGCTCCACGGAGGAAATACTGCAGTGTCTGATGGTCAGCCAGCGTCCAGCCAGCACCCTCGACGTGCGCAAGGATGCATCCTATCTTTCTAAGACTTCTAGTCTGTATAGGAAACTTTGTTCTGTTACTTGTTTCATATTTCCTTGCAGGACTTTTTTATCTTCAGCTTTCTATTATATGGATCGTCTGGAGCCACTCTTCCTGTCTCGTTTATGTATATATGTTTTTACAATGATTAAAGGTGGAATTGTCTTAGGTGTTTGTGATTTGTTTGCTTGGTTGGTTGGTTTAGTATACAGATGTTTCTCAGTATTGTCAGTTTAATGCCTGCCAAAAGGTCTGTGGACCAAATGATAACTTGTGCACAAAGCAGAGCAACACATGCGGAATGTACAAATATATTGCTACTTGCTTTACAGATCAATGTGCCAGTTAATCAAAATGGAAAGATGCTTTACGTGACGTGCTGCCATCAAACCAAACATTGTGACAGATAATCACTGAGGGCCAGTCAAACACAATGAGCACCACTCAGTCACTTGTCAAGTTGAATAACAGCTGAATTAAACCAGCCTCTGTGTTCATGGTATTCTTCAAGTATCTTGAGTATATGAACTGTCAGCTTGTGACAAGAGTGCAATATTCCAGCTTTGTAATTGTGGCATCATATCAGCGTGGGACCTCGATTTACCTGTGCTTAGCTTTAGTGTGACATAGAAAAATAACCAAATCAAACTTCAGTAAAGCTAAAACCTCTGGGCATAAAGTTCCTGATGCATCATTAAGCTGCATTTAGATGGCAGATTGAAGGGAAGGAAGGTAGGTGGTGCAGTGAGTGGACTAATGGTTGGTGCAGGGCCATGTCGGTCTGATCTGATCTGTTGGAGAAATAGAAAAACGCATCATGGTTGTTTCTTTCTGCATACTCTAGTCTGCTGTGTTTAGCTGGAGTTTGGTTACTTCTGTTGCTGCAGATGCTTGTTAATAAAGAAACGCCTTCAATTATGTACAACTGACTTCATTACACTGTCTGCCTTCTGTGTGCACATGTAAATCAATCAACACTTTCACCCCATAAAAGGAATATCCTCTGGGCCACATCAAGTCGTCATGTGTCGAGGCAGCCGTCGAGGTTGTTAACAAGCTTCCCAGCTCGTTCTGTTAAGTGTGACAAAGACCTTTCGTTACGTTTGTGAAGGTCTCTAAATCTATTTAATTTGTGAAATACATACAACAATAAAGACTGTCTTTGAAGAAGCGCCTTAGGAACTTTTATACATGGGAAATTAAGATTAAAATCAGGAATTGCAATTAAAACGACACCTTAATAAACATGCAAATTATGAGATGTTTATTTTTCATCTTCAAACCAGGGAAGTCTGGAGTGTTTTTGCGTCTTACATTAACACATCTTTGTAATCGTATAGCCCCTGGTTCATTAGTTTGAAGATGAAAAGTACTGATTCTCTTTTCAGGACTATGGAGCAGCTTTAGAAAACTATCGTACAGACCGTCTCTGTGTGGAAGTGTGTGGTGGAGTATCTTACATTAAATACACTGCATTGTTATTTCATTTTGTGAATGTATTTTCACTCTTGAATTAACTGTCAGAGGAGACATGATGAATTTAAGGTTAAATCAAACTTAATTTCTATCTGGAAGTCACAAATGTAAAATAATAAACAATTTGTTTGTACTTTATGGACTGATTGTATCTTTTCAGCTCTCACTTAACACTTTGATTTACTCAGCTGAAATGAGGCCCTAGAATCAAACTGGTGTAATGATCTTAGTGACAGCCCACCGATGCGTGTCTGTGTTGGGTTAAACGGTTAATATATTAGAGGACACACCTTGACAGAATTTCTTCATGGCCTTTTGTCGAATATAAAACTAGAATTACTGCCTTGTGGTTCCATTCCTCCGCCAACCAGTCATGTTGTAATTTATATCCATGTCTGTCCAAAATGTCATCACTTTATCATTTTATCCTATTATACATTTATGTGAAATTGTCATGATTAGCAATTCTTGAGTTATGGCTAAAAACGTGTTTTGTGAGCTCACAGTGGCCATCAAAACCTAATCAATTTATCCTTTTAGTTCAAGTGAACGTTTGTGCCAAATATGGAGAAATTTATTCCCATATTTTTTTCTCAACTTCATGTCACATAACTTCCAGCAAATTGTCTAATTTTTCAAGAAGTTACAATGGGTCAGTCCTAAACAAGTTTTTCTTAAGTAGTGTGGAGTCTGGATCAATTACTGATGCCACTGTCCTAAAACTAATCCAAGAGGAATTTGACGGCGATCTTTATTTTCTTCCTCCTCGTTTTGTGTCAATTGAGAGAAAAGTCCAACGCAGCTTGTGTCCCAAAAACACAATTACCTCGACCTTTGACCACCAAAATTGAATCACTTCATCCTTGAGTTCAGGTGGAAATAATACCCTCCTTCCCTTTTAAAATATCGCCTTTACGAGAACCATAGTACCTCCGGCCACGGCTGTTGCTGGCACAGAGGCATAAAAATACAGCTGGTATTTCTATAAGTGCACCAAACAGGACCTTTCATTTTCACTCCAACCGAGGAGTGTGTGCAAGCCAAAGGAGATCTGAGCAAACTATCAGCTGAGACATGATGGGCAGGTTGTATACATGCCTGAGAACAGACGGCCTCACTTGTTCCATCTTCTTTGAAGCACTGCTCTGTGGTCTGTTCCGGCCACACTGGTATTCACTCCAATAAAAAGACATAATGCAACACAACACCGACGAGCCTTTTGGAGGACCTTTGCACACTTGACATTTTTTAGTCACTGAGTGATCAGCTTGGAAATGATCTTTAGGTTTCTTTTGTTGAGAGGAAGCTTGTCCTTTCTGCTTCAGTTTTCAATGTAACAAAATGGAAACAAAATAAGTCTCGTCTTCAAATTAGATTCAACAGGGCCTTCTTTATAGAAGAAGTGACAGAGCGAGAGAGAGGTGGGTGGGGGGGTCGATGCTCCTTGTGAGCCCCTTTTGCCTTCACCAGCCCGCAAAAAAACATGTTGTGCCCTGGTGTAGCCTGTTTGAAGTGTGCTGGTAACCTACGGGCTGCCTGTGTCACCTGCGTTGTTGGCTGGGATTTTTTGTGTGAACTGATCCTGCATCGGTTTCATGGAGCTGTCTGTTCAGCACCATTGAGATCTGCTGTGAGCAAACATCTGCAGCGCGTCTGTGTGACATCCCCAATATATTTTGCTTAATTGGCACAGTAAAATATGCCCCCTAAATTGAATTATCGGCCACTGATCAATTGCAACAGAATTACATGACTGGGAAGTGCCTGGTACTATAATAAACCTGCATTCATACTTGTCAGAAAACGAGTTGAATGGACATTTCGACGTGGAATTGAGCCTACATCATGACGTCATATCAGAGTCCCTTGCCCGGCAGAGCGGAGGGGTGACTGAAGTACAAACAGTACTTCTATGCAGAAATATATCATGGCAAGTGCTATTTCTCAGAAAATAAATACATTTTAGTATCAATGTTTATTTAAGTTGTTGCTCACCTGTACCAGTCAAGCCCTCTGTCATAGTTCCTGTCGAAAAAGTGCGGCTCTGTTCCAAGAGCGCGCACATCTGGATGTATCCGGATGAACTCCAGAACCGCCCTGGTGCCTCCTTTCTTTACACCGACTATTAACGCATTAGGCAGCTTCTTATTCCCATATTTTTGCGCAACACTCATGTTTCTCAACTTCATGTCAGCCCAGTGGCTTCCAGACGAGCCAGGGGCTTTACTTTGTTCGCGGACATCACTTGATCCTCGCCGGGCAGCGGACCTGACTTCCAGCGATGCGCAATTGTCTAATTTTCCAAGAAGTTTCTTCCCTCCTGCGTTCTTGCTCGGCGAACATCTTTTCCCCTCGTAACCCTGGTTTGTCATGATTGTGCTGCGGCAAAAAATAATACTGTAGCATAAGTAGGTGCAGGACAGTGACACAGTGAATATGAAGGCGAATCTGGCGCTGGATCTGTTCGGAGATGAGAGGAACATATGTGCCATGTCTCCATGGGTTCAAAGCGCTGCATGATTTTCCATCGGAGACTTCTTCCTCTTATGGTCCGCCGCCGGAGTCTGGCAATAATATAGATTCGAGACTGACTGGCATGTGATAGGGGCGGCTTGTCGAAGGCATCAACTGCGCGTAAATCGCACTATTCCTTTTCATAGGTTGCTGAACTGTGTGAGAAACTTGGAGCTGAAGACTATAGGTTAGAGCTATGGGGAATAAATTGGTCTCTCAGCCTTTAAAACAAGTTTTTTTCACAAGTAGTGTGAAGTCAGTCATTTGGATCAATCGCTGATGCCACTGTCTTAAAACGAATCCCAGAGGAACTTGACGCCCATCTTTATCCTCCTCCTCCTTGTTGTGTGTGTCGATTGAGAGAAAAGTCCAACACGTACTGTGTCCCAAAAGCGCTCACCAGCGCGAGTGTTCTGTTCCCCTCCAACGGGATTCAGATGCTCAGCCCGCCTTTCCTTTTCATAAAGAACTTGTGAAGGTATATGCACTTAGGCTACCGGCTATACATATTTAATAAACTCCCCGACGTCATGCACATCATCACAATTCTATATGCGTTTTATGTTTTAAAGGAACATCCTGAATATTTTAGGTATCATCATATTTGTATATGTAGAATTTGGCTAGTGCCAGTTTATGGAAAGTCATTTCAATTTGAACTGCATCACTTAAATATATCAAAGCTGCACACATCTGAATGTTATGGCATAGAGTTTATATGCCCAATGTATTAATAACATTAACATTAACATTAATAACATTTTCTTTTAAAAATACATGGGCATTCGCAGCCCCTGAAGGTCGCTTTTGCCATGATGCGAGCGGGATGCAGACCGGAGTGCAAGGTTTTCAGGTCTTTCAATGTCATGGTTAAAGTTTGTTTCATTATGGAGGAGTGAATAGCTTATGCAGTGCCTGGATAAAGCTGCAATATTCATGCTTTTACCACTTTTAAGTATATGAATATGATAAATTGTCATTCTGTTTCAGCCTGTGACCCTGCACAGATACACACCATTCAGACATTATTTTATGTCATTAGTGGTGTGTAAACAACTTTTATTTTATTATTTCACCAGCAAAATATACAAAGTATAGCACCCTTTTGAGTGTGTGTGCAAACAGTCCACTCAGGCTCAGACTATGTGGCTTGCAGTAATGTGCCAACACAGCCCTTCGGGGGAGTGCAATACACATGTAACTCTGAACAAAAGTTCTGTTAAATGAAATGAAAGGAAGGTTTGAAAGAAAATGTCCCAAATTCCTCCCCTGCAAAATATATGTTCTCAACATTGGCATTACTTCACAGTACAACATGGACTATGGAATATCTTACTCATAACTGCAATATCAAACATAACATATTCAACATGTTATTCCCCTATAGTGCCAATAGTTTTCTTTCAAAAACAAGTGGATGGTTTTCAGTAAATGTAACTCCACTCCACTCTTAAATAGTCCCGTAGATCCATTCATTAATCTGAGTGGACATGTGGAGTCCCCCAGGGTTCGATTCCTGGGCTGCTATTATTCAACCTGTACGTGCTCCCTCTAGTTCAAGCCATACACGACAATGACTCTGCTTATCACAGCTACGCAGACGACACTCCGATTTACTTAGCTCTTGAGGTTCACTCTATCAATTCTTAAAGCAAAGCTGGATGCAATTACTTCAAATAAATAACGACAGAAATCAATGCTCTCCCTGTGGACTCGCAGTCTTTGTACTTCTGTGGAAGCCCAATTTTGAGTAAAGATTGCTGTTGTATTTCAACAGATCCTGTAGTTTTTTTCTCCAGATTTGTGCATCTGGAGTACATTTATGTCTGGCTGGTTATCTGCAGCTATCTCCTGAACATGTGGGTTGCAGGTAAAGGCAAGGATCCATGGGGCGTTTGAGTTTCCACTGCACAGAATATTGCAGCTAACACTTTTCATTCACACTCACAGGTGTGTGGTTCATTCACACTCACAGGTGTGTGGTTCATTCACACTCACAGGTGTGGACAAGAAGTCTGCATTTGTATTTGTTTTGTCTTGGCTGGTATTCCAGAATTATGTTGAAGTGAGCCAGCTCAGACACCCTGCGATGTCTGCTGGGGTTAGTTTAGCTGCGCTCAGTACATATGAAACAGGCCTCCGTCCTCAAAGTATTTGCCAGCAATTTTACAGCACTCACAAACAGTTCTTCAGTCCAAGCACCAAAGAAACTCAGATGTCTTGCTTGGCAAACATTTTACATTCTATTACATGTGAAAAACAATAAAACAGGTCGGTAGCTGGACTAAGCTTCATAACTGTAAGTTAAAACTGTGTTAACATAGTCGTCTACTGCTCTCACACACCAGTGTTTATCGTGTTTTTTGAAGTTGGACAGTCTTGCACTGCAAATAAATATCTAATCTCCGTTGTACATCAAAACAGTTTTACCATTCAAACTTTGACAGCATCAGTAGTGTAGAAAAACGCTCCCTTTAGCGAAACAGCCGAGCTGTTGGTACAGCAGCACCGAGCACATACTTTCATGACTCGTCTTGCGAATTGCAGTAAAAAGCCACAGGCAGCTTACTCTGCTATGTGGCTAGTGCAATACGGGTGCAACTTTAACCAAGATAACTTATTATTAAAGTAAATTATTAAACAATTGGCAGGTTTTATTTTATGTAACACATGCTTGAATCTTAGCGTTTGCCTTTAAATATTTTTTTTCTTGAAGTTTGGGATCCATTTGCTGTGGTTGTGTGTTGAACGTCCTTTGAAGCACCATAGCAACAACAATGATGTAAAGCAGTTAAAAGCAAAAGAGTACAGAGCAGAATGTGTGGCAGTATACATTTCCTACTTCAAGGCAAATAGTTCTTAAAAAGGATAAAGCACAACAGTGAAAGAAGTTGGTTTTCTAAAAGATTATGATGAAAAGTGCACTTGTACTGTATAGCTAAAAGTGCAAACCAGAGATGCAAAGAGATGAAGGTGAAACCACTCAAACTGAAAAAACAGGAGATGCTCATGCTACTTTCTATTTCTTCATGATTTCAGTACAGCTGAGCTCAGTGCTCATTTCTAAAAACAACAGCAGTATTGTTGCATTAACAGGACAAAACATTCAATGTTTCCCAACTGTTATTATTCCCTTTCATGCTCATTAACTTGTGTTTATTGCAAATTAAAGAAGGGTGTAAAGCAGTGTTATGGTGCATTAACTGAGAGGAGGGTTAAGTGAATCCCTTTAGAAGAACATTCGGAGGTGCTTTGTGAATAATATCACATTATTAATAAAGATTCGGTGCAGCTAAGACAATAGTTTTAGCTCCCTGGGGTTTACCTCCACAATGCTGCACTGTACTCCAGGAAATAAACAAGTGGCAGTTTTTTTTTTACTCTACTAAAGCTTCCACATATTTTTATGATGTCATCCGTGAGGCTTGAGCTGGCAACCAGAGCGCATCAATTCACCTGCAGCTCATGTTTAATGATGATAGAAAATGTGACCAGCACCAAAAAGTCGCCTTGCTGCTCCGCCAGTAGCCACCATACTGCGAGGCCCATGCTGTATTGCTGGACTCGCTGGAGGGAAGAGAGGCACGGGGAGAACCAGAACCAGGACTGTGCGTGGAGGACTGTCAAACCACTAAAATCGACACAGAAATAAGTTCCTCGTCGTAGCTTTAACATAACTGTTTGTTCTCTGCTCTTGCCGTGTTGCTTACCTTGATCATGAAATATGATCAGCAATCATGTAGACCACATGTGTCATTTAAGGTCAAGCTGATATATAACATAAAAATGTTCGTTCGAGCTCAAACCATCTTACAATTCAAAGGGACAGCGAGATACTTGAAACTGCTGAAACTGCATTTAAGACAGCTCCAACTCCTTCCCACTTCACTGTTTTGATGAGTCACTCTAGACTGTACATTCGAGATTGGCCCTGCGCTGCAAGGACACTATTTGTCGCTGATATAAATGAATATGAACTCAAAAGTTGAATTCAAGGACACAAAAGGAGAGCTTTCTGCATTACTGTCAATCCCTTTTTTTTTCGATGCCCAGTCTCCGATTTTGAAAATCTTTTTGCTTTGTAATCAGTTGCAAACACTGGCAAGTTCACATTTCTGTCATTTTTATTTGCTTCCAAAGCAATACAATTAATTTGTACAAATCGGCAATGGATCATGTTATGCTTTTACAATAACCTCATATAATGACTTCACTGTTGTAGCAGTACTAAAGCTTCACTCCACACACACACGCACACGCACGCACACGCACACACACACACACCTTATCCAGAAAAAAGTCCTGCACCTTTTTTTAAGTCTGCTCACATATACAGCAGGTACTGAGAGGGCCTTTCCAAAACTTTTCCTACAACACTTATACGTGTGGATAACACTGCACTTTGTCTGCCCTCACACTGTGAGAGATGAACTCCCTTCCTCAGAACTAGATGAACTCCCTTCCTCAGAAATAGAGTTGTTCCAATACCAGTATTGGAAATGCCTCCGGTACAGCCTGAAATGCTGGATTGGGTATTGGCGAGTACACAAGTCTATGCACCGATCCGCTATCACATAATCACATGTTGCTGTTGTTTTTCCTGTGTAGCGTCAAGAGCTGATAAATTATACGTCACACGCTACCCGATCCACACATCCTGCTTGATCAGTACTGCACATGTACAAACTAGTTAATTGGTTAAACTCTTTCATGGACGTTGTTTTTCCCTGATTATGCTACATCGCGGACAACGAGTTTGAGTTGAAATTAGAAGGACGACGGCTAGTTAACATTAGCTGTTAGCAGGCGGTGTGCAGCACAGTCTTGCTTGTTTATAATAGAAAGTAAACATTCACAATTTAACTTAGTTCATTTCCTGTTGCAGTGCAAGGCCCCCAAAAATGACATACGAGCTGTAACAAAAAGTTCAAAGTCATATTTGAATTTGCCTTGGAGTGAGAGTGAGCTGTGATTGGTTACTGACTAATTAAAAACAATGATGTAATCATGTAATTCATTTCTATACACGCACATACGCTGAGTAAAGTCTTAATGATAGAAAACACTGACATTACTTGTGCACTGTATGCCACTAAACCTTTGGAATAAAGATCACTGCTTGAAGTCCCCAGGCAGCCGAGAGAACTTCATTGAAGATGAACTCTGAAGTTCTTTTGTATTCTGTGGAAATGGATGCAATTCCACTGAGTAATAGAGCACAATGTTATACAATTCTTGTTTGATGTGTGCAGGTATCCCAGACATTGCCCCTAAATTACAAGCCTCTGCTATGTGTGATAGTTTGTCATGCAGCAAGTTTTCAGAAAATCTGACATTTGTAGGGCAGCATCATGACTTTCA